ATGGTTAGAGTTAGTGGAGGGTGAGGGTGAGTGTGAGTTTGAGGGTTAAAGTTATGGTTTGAGTTAGTGGAGGGTGAAGGTGAGGTTGAGGGTTAGGGTTAGGTGAGGGTAGGGATGATGGTGAGGTTGAGGTTGAGGGTTAGGGTTAGGGTTAGGATTAGGGTTAGATGAGGGTTATGGTTAGGGTTAGGGTTAGGTGAGGGTGAGGAGTGGAGGTGGGGGTGAGGGTGAGGGTGAGGGTTAGGGTGAGTTCAGGGGTGAGGTTGAGGGTTAGGATTAGGGTTAGGGTGGGGGTGAGGTTGAGGGTTAGGGTTAGGCGAGGGTTAGGGTTAGGGTTAGGATTAGGGTTAGAGGAGGGTTAGGTGGGGGTGGGGGTGAGGGTTAGGGTTATGGTTAGGGTTAGGGTTTGGGTTAGGATTAGGGTTAGAGGAGTGTTAGGTGAGGGTGAGGGTGATGGTTAGGGTTAGGGTTAGATGAGGGTGGGCGTGAGGGTTAGGGTTAGGTGAGGGTGGGGTGAGGGTGAGGGGTGGGTGTGAGTTTGAGGGTTAATGATAGGGTTAGGGTTAGGGGAGGTTGAAGGTGAGGGTAAGGTTCAGGGTTAGGTGAGGGTGAGGGTGAGGGTGAGGGTGGGGGTGATGGTGAGGTTGAGGTTGAGGGTTAGGGTTTAGGGTTAGGTGAGGGTGAGGGTGGGTGTGAGGGTGAGGATCGATAATGGGTCAGCGTAACTATTATATCATTAATTACATAGAAACTACACACACCGTACACTCATATTTTCGAGCCGTAGAATACCCCGTCCAATAAATACTATATATAATCTCTTTATTTACTTGTCACATACGCGTACAGGATCGTTGGCGGATACGAGGCCATCTTGTTCGGTCCGATAACTTTTTTGTACGTGTATGTGAGAGGTGGCTTATATATAAATATTTATTGGATCTGTCCAGTTTGGACGGGTTAGGTATGTAAACATGGCGTGTATATGTATTTACTTGTGTTCTTGTGTACTTTCTTTTCGTCAGAGTTTCGGCGGCGCTTACTCGTTGTTCTCCGTGTACAAATTGCAGAGGGATATGCATGAGTATATCCTTCCCACTATAGTGTACTCGGAGAATAGCGAGTAGGTGCTGCCGAAATTTTGACGAATTGAAAGTACACTTGAACACACGTAAATACATATACACGTCACGTTTACATACCTAATGGGATAGAAGCCTTCCTCTGATAGCCGGTCACACATACGGTCCTCTGAACACACGTTTACATCCCTAAATTAAAATGATATATGTCGGGATATGCTCACTTCCATTAATTTTTAAATTATAGATGCGGACAGTTCCTGACAAATCGTTCATGAGCATACCACGTAATCGAAGACATCTAGACACCTGGTACAAGGATGGGATAGAAGCTTTCTTAGCCTACTCTGACACAAACCCTCTACGGTCGCTAAGCGGGTCGATTTTCTGTCCTTGTAAGAATTGCAGGAACGGTAAAATGCTCGCTAGGAGTGACGTAAGTTTTCATCTGTCAATCAATGGATTTGATAGCTCTTATGTATTTTGGAGTCATCACGGTGAAGGCGTCCCGGTGATGCAATCAGAGGAAGAATTCACTGAAGTCAGCAATCCGACAGTTGACACGACTGATATGTTAGAAGATATTCTTGCAGCGCCATCGGTGAGTGATGTCAACACTAATGATATGTTTCAAGATGTAGATCGATTGATGAGACTTGTTGAAGAAAACGAGTCACCGTTATACGAGGGGTGCAAGGAGTTCACAAGGCTGTCTTTTATGCTGAGGCTTATTCATATCCAAACACTCAGTGGGATGACTGTTACACATTTTGAGATGTTATTAGATTTTCTAAGGAAAGTCATTCCAGGCGGCGATAAAAGCATCCCCGCGACCTATTACGAAGCTCACAAGATTGTTGATATGCTGGGGCTTGATTACAAGAAGATAGATGCCTGTCCTAACGACTGCATCTTGTACAATAAGGGTAATGAAGCTCTTGAGGAATGTCCGACGTGTCATGTATCACGTTGGAAAGGAGAAGTTGCAAGCACATCCGAAGGCGGTGCATCCAATAAGCAGAACAGAATCCCTGCGAAGGTTCTCCGATATTTTCCAATTATTCCTAGGCTGCAGCGGTTTTATATGTCTGCCGAGCTGGCTGAGAATATGCGATGGCACTCGACCGACCGTAAAGAGGACGGGAAACTAAGACATCCTGCGGACGGTGAGGCATGGAAGCACATTGACCGTATATACCCCGACTTCGGTAAAGAGTCTCGGAATATTAGGCTGGGGCTTGCTAGCGACGGATTTAATCCGTTTGGATTAATGAGCTCTGCTTGGTCTACCTGGCCAGTGTTGCTGACACCGTACAACATGCTGCCGTCGATGTGCATGAAGCAACCGTACATGATACTGTCACTTTTGATCCCTGGAAGATATTCTCCTGGAAATGACATCGATGTTTTCCTCCAACCATTAATTGACGACCTGAAGCTTCTCTGGGAAAAAGGTGTTAGCACTTATGATGCTTATGGTAAGGAGTCTTTCTGTATGCGGGCAATGGTCATGTGGACAATTAATGACTTCCCGGCATACGCTAACATGTCTGGATAGTCGACGAAGGGTCAGATTGCTTGTCCGATTTGCATGTCAGACTATGAGGGAAAGTTCCTGAAGTACAGCCGTATGTTTTGTTATTGGCAACACAGAAGATGGTTGCCTACAGGGCACAAGTTCATAAAGTTAGTAGGAAAGTTCGACGACAATCCAGAAAGTAGACCGGCACCACCAAGGCTGACCGGAGAAGAAATATTTGAGCTTCTACATCCTTTACCTAGAAAAATATTTGGAAAAAAAAGATTCAACAAAGAAAATCCATTTGGTGTTAGGAGAAAAATATTGAAGCAAAAATGGAAGGGAAAGGGAAAATCAAAAGGAAATAGGCCTCGCAATGTCCAGTCGCATGAGCGTGTCTCAAAAGGCACCGAACTTCCGCATGGATGGTCAAAATTCAGCATATTTTATCAGCTGCCATATTGGAGAAGTTTAAAAATACGTCACAACTTGGATGTCATGCACATCGAGAAGAACATATGCGAGAATCTCTTGAACACTTTGTTGCAGGACGGGAAAAAATCGAAAGATGACTTAAGGGCACGTCGAGACCTAGCAGAATTGAACATTCGTCCGGAACTGCAAGCTATAGATAAGGGCGACGGAAAGTTTGAACTCCCAGCCTCCCGTGTCACACTGTCGAAGGATGAGGTCCACAATATGTGTTTATTTCTAAAGTCCGTGAAGACACCGGATGGTTATGCTTCAAACATTTCAGCAAATGTGCATATTGAGGACAGAAAGATTTTGGGACTCAAGACACATGATCATCATATTCTATTACATCAACTTCTCCCGGTTGCGTTGCGACATGCTGACAAGGAACTCGCGATGGTGGTAATAGAATTCTGCGGTTTCTTCAAGCAACTATGCTCTAAGGTGATTGATGTCAGGGAGTTTGAAGAATTAGAGGGACGTGTTGCTAATACACTGTGTAAAATGGAAATACTATTTCCACCCTCATTCTTCACGGTCATGGTGCATCTCACAATACATTTAGCATACGAAGCCCGCATCGCAGGACCAGTTCAATATCGCTGGATATACCCCGTGGAGAGGTATTTATTATTATAATATTTATTTAATATTTGTCAAATTACGGTTCTTAGTTCCATTTTGTTACAAATCATGAAACTATATGCTTGTAGGTATTTGGGTTTCATGAAACAACTGATGCATAATCGTGCACATCCTGAAGGGTCGATCGCAGAGAACTACATAAGTAACGAGAGTTTGAATTTTATCTCTCGTTACTTGCGGGGCATAGAGACAAGGCTAAACCGTCCATAAGTAACGAGAGTTTGAATTTTATCTCTCGTTACTTGCGGGGCGTAGAGACAAGGCTAAACCGTCCCCAATGAATAATTGACGGTACATTCTACAATGATCGTGGGGAGGACACTAGATTCCCCAGAATGGAGCTAGATCAAGCCCACACATATATCCTGAGCAATGATACTACATTTAACATATACGCGGCGCAAGTATTTAACTGTTTGAATCAGATTATATCACCTCACAATAATTATCTCTATTTAACCATTATAAATGCTTCTTGTCTAGGCTTCACATCCGACATGTCCAGACTAATCTTAAATGCAGAACAAAAAATAAGAGAGTTATGGACACACACTCTAGAAAATTCCCTGCATGGCTGAAGGGTGAAGTAAGATCTTTTTACATTTCTGATTCGTATATCAAATATATATGCCTGTCAACAGATATGTAAATATTTGCTTCTTTTTCTTAAAGGTTGACAAACGGATTACGAATGGGATTAACCTGTCTGAGAAAGTTTGTTTATATGCCAGAGGTCCTTCTAATGTGGTTAAGCATTATGGAGGCTACTGTGTCAACGGCTTTAGATTTAACATCGTCGGTCTTGAAGAGAGATGACAAACGCAAAACAGCGGTGTGTTTTGCTCCTTCTCGCAACTGTCATACGCTAGTGCAAAAGACCTAAATCCGATACAAGGGGAAATCTATTGCTACGGTCAGGTAGAAGACATCGTGGCGATTTTCTATGGGATTAATAAGGAAGTCAGTCATGTGATGTTTAAGGTTCGTTGGTGTGAACAGAAAAAGGTGAATGATGACTACGGTTACACAATCGTTAATCTTAACAAGGAAATATATCAGTCTGAAAAATACATGTTAGCTGCTCACGCCAAACAGTGCTTTTATGTCAAAGATATAATGAAAAATGACGAATGGGTTATCCTTAAGAATCCGCCTAGAGCCTACATTCATGAAGTCGTGTCTGACGAAGATCATGATGAGGAGGTTATCTTGGCCGACGAAATAGCCGAGGAGTTTTCATTGACACAAAATAATAATCTGGACGATGAAATTGCACTAGCGCGCCCTGATGTACCTGCGATTATATGTGAGCCAAGGCGTAAAGGTAAAAAACCTGTCCACAGTGGAGTCGATAAAACTATAAGAACAGTCCTTTCGTTGGCACGCACACGGTCGCAGGCTATCCGCACACGATCGCAGAGTAGAGCCTCAACATCATCTGTTTGACTGGTTATCATGTATCACGATTATCATGTATTATATTATTACATTTATATTATCTGGTTGACTGGTTATCATGTGGATGTGTCATGTATTATATTATTACCTTTATATTATCTGTTTGACTGGTTATCATGTATCACGGTGTGTCATGTATTACATTATTGCCTTTGTATTATCTGTTTAACTAGACATCATGTACATGCGATTCTGTTGCTATGTGCTATTTTATTAATAATTTGCATTATATACTTTTGTTGAATATTCATTATGTTTTCAAAGTATAGATGACAAAAGGATTACGTAAGAAAGAGCTTGAGAGACTATTTGGTAGACATTCTGAAGGCGACGCACATGCCTCTACGTCAGGTATTTTTATTTATTTGTTATATATGTACATTTCTATAAACTATTAACATGAGCGTAATATTTTTTAACATTTACTACACAGGAGGAGGAGATGCTACACATGACTCGCAGCCACAGGACACATCACGCGGAGATGCTCCACGTGACGTGGAGACACAGGCTGATCCTACACAGCATGCGAAGATACCACCGCCACCGCATGCAAATGTATTGGAGGAGAGGAGATTTGAGCCGTATAGCGCAGCTTTAGAAGCTGCGGCACTACCTCCAGATTCTATTACGGATCAGCGAGTCCACGGTCCGACCAAGGTGAGGGGGGAATGGGATTCTTATCATGCGGTGCGCCCTATCACGCATCATAGGTACGAACAAGCAAAGCGTAGATGCCTCGAACTGAAAGGTATGAATAAATTTTTATAGTTTATCGGTTATTATTTTAAAATTTTTTCGCAAATATAGATTGATTCATTGTTTCATTCGATTCTTTGTTTCGCAGGTACCGGGCGACCTCCTATACGCGGCCGCAATGCTACTAAGGAAACGAACCTCATCCTCGATATTAATCGGAGGGCTGTGATCCGATGGGAAAACGGAGTGCCTATCGGGGCCTTTGCCAATACTTTCAACAATTTTCTTGCCGCTTTAGCCAAGAGACAGGATTTCTTCAATATTTTTTTGACGTGGAAAGCGCAGCGGATTGATGCGCTGGTGGCTTGTTGGAGATATATATGTGTGAGTCATTTATTTCAATTTTCATCATTATTAGTTATTAGTTTATTATTATGTTTAATACACTGATTTGTATCTATTTTTCCTTTATATGCTGAAGCGATTTTTCTTTCTTGACGATAATATTTGTGCCTGGACGTACTGCTTCGGGCAAATCAATTTATCGTTCAAGAGATGGTGGTTTGAGGTAAAGAAGAAATATTTTGTCCAAATAACAGAAGATTGGGAGCGATTCTGACATCTTGACGAGCGTGTGGATGGAGTAGATTTTTTTGCACTTTGCCATTACTGGGACACGGCTAAAATTCAGGTATTATTGAAGTATATATTTTTAATTTATTGTTTGAATTTCTATATTGTTTCAATTTGACATTGTTTTGCAGGCTCAAGCCGAAATAGCAAGGAGGAATCGCAACGCGCCTCGCAGTTACGAGCATCACGGGGGCTCCAGGTCCTTTAGCCAGCATTATCAGCAATTAGAGCTTGAGGTATATAATATATTAGCTTTTAAGTTGAGTATAATTTATGTGTTATGGGTTAATGATATATTTGAATAAAATAGGGAAGAGGAGATCTCAGACATTTTGCAGATCGTATTCTGACTTCCTGGAGCCTGAATTACGCCGTTGAAGAGAAGAAAGCAAAGAATAAGAATTTGTGTGTAAGTAGCAGTTCATTTATATATTCAATTTCATATCAATGCACCATTAGTAAGTCGACTTGCCCGGGTTGTTTTGATATATCGCAGGAGAAATTACATGTCAAGGTACAGGAGCAAATGACTCAGTCTCAGGTCTGTTCTAACACTCCTGCCCGGCTAAATAGGGAGGATGAGGACTCCATCATCGAGACGGTCATTGGACCCAGTAGGAAGAACAGATACCGGTGGAGAGGATCCGAGCAGAGGCCGCACGAGTCTAGTAGCACCTACGAGTCTGCAACACCACAAGGAACACCAGGAAGCAGTTCATATCAAGACTCGATGGAGCAGCGATTAAAAGCAATTAAAGATTGGTAGTCGCAGCAAACAACATATCAGCGGGCTCTAGAGGAAGAACGGAGGCGCCGGGAGCAGACCGTATTGGAGTTCACACAATTCATGTCGACTCTGCCTCAGGAGGCTCAGGAGGCATATAGGAGACGGTTTTTGTCGTCACAGGTAATATATATACTTTGTTTTTTTTTAATTAGATGATATCGTACATACTGATACACACTGATACAAACTGTTACACACAAACTCTAACTCTAACCCTAACACAAACCTTAAAATATATACTTGTAATGTTTTTATGTGATGGTGGTGTTGATGGTGTATGCATGCGTAGTGTTGGTGGTATTGTTTGGTGGGTTGGTTGTGGTGTTGTGTTGTGGTGGTTGTTATGTGATTAGTTTGTGGGTCGTTATGTGATTGGTTGTGGTGTTGTGTTGTGGTGGTCGTGGTGGGGGGGAGGAATGGGGATTGGGTGTTGATGGTGGTGATGGTAGTGATGGAGGGGGAGGGGGTGTGTAGAGTGTGATTGGTTGGTGGGTGGGGACTTTGGTCGTGGTTGAGGATAGGGAGTGGGGATTTTGTTGTGGTGGTGGTTGAGGGGGAGGGGTAGGGCGAGTGGGAGGGGTAGGGCGAGGTGGGTGAGGTTGGAGGATTTGTGGTGGTGTTGTTGTGTTGTGGTGTGATGTGTGGTGATGTGTTGTGTAGTGTAGTGTTGTGTTGTGTTGTGATGGTGTAGTGTTGTGTGTTGTTGTGTTGTGGTGTTGTGTTGTTGTTGTGATGTTGTGGTGTTGTGTTGTAGTATATTTATATTTACACTCTTATTAACGTTTACACACACTTGTTAACATTTGATTTATATTTACAGGCCGGGACTTCTTCACAAGATGCAGCCGGGGGTAGTCATAATGCGGCTGGTGTTGAGGATGAGGATGATGATGATCAGGAGGATTGATTGTCCTTAATATAACTTTGAAAACAATTTCTTGTGTTGTATAAACAATATTTATTATGTACCCGTCGAGAAACTTTTACTTGCTTTTATTGAATTAAATGTGTGATATATGCGTGAGATGTGATATTTGTGTGAGATTGAATATTATACTGTGTTGATTGAACAGGTTTTTAAAAATTATTATTGATATTGTACAGGGTATTTTCAATTTTCAAAATATTTTAAAAATTCCTCTTTTAAAAGGTTTAGCTACGGAAATTACGTCACTAAATTACTATTTAGTGACGGAAATTCCGTCACTAAATTAATATTTAGCAACGGAAAACGTGCACGAAATCATATATGACTGAATTTTTTAAACATTAGCGACGGAAATTCCGTCGCTAATAAATTTTTAGCGAGGGAAAAACCGTCGCTAAAGTTTTATTAGCGACGGAAATTCCGTCGCTAATGTTTTTTTTAATTTTTTATTTTTTTACAATAGCGACCATTAATCCGTCGCTAATAAACCGTCGCTAACAATTAGCGACGGAATTTTCGTCGCTATAAGTCTTTTTAGGGACCCTTGTAATAACGTCGAACTTTTAGCGACGGAAATTAATTTTTTCCGTCGCCAAAAGTTTTAGCGACGGAATATTGGCTTTTAGCGACGGAATTGTCCGTCGCTAAAATTGGAATATCCAGCAGTGGACGCCGGCTTCGACCAAGGTCTGGATACTATTCTTTAAAGTAATGCAAACATTGGTGGGATGAAGGATTCTCATATGGTACGCATAGTACCTCGGGTCTGCAGTATTGTTAGCTTCCTCCTGATTCGTGATGGGTGGCAGCTTGATCTTGTTGTTTTCAAGAAGGGTCCGTGATGGGTGGCAGCTTGATCTTGTTGTTTTCAAGAAGGGTCTCGAAGATGGTTGGAACGTCTTCGTCCTTGAATGAGTACTCTTTTTGGAGCCTCGGATCCGAAGTCTTCTGCTGTCTTCGGGGCTGCTGTTGCGACGTCTGATTAACGTCAACAATTGTTGTAGGTACCATCCCTTCATCATGGGACACGAGACTCGAATTCATAGGGTTAACCATCGGTTGGTTTCTTTTGACCTTCCTCCTTCTGAGGAAGCGTTCGGCCTGTTCTCCGCGCATCTTCAATTCTTTCCAGGTATTGAGCGGCTCTACTCTCATAACGTCCAAGATGTTAATGGACAAATTGTTATGACAAGTCTGCAAGACGAATTCCTCCGTGACGGGATCCTTGCAGTTCATTGCCTGATTGCGGAAGCGTTTGATGAAGGTATCCACCGACTCTCCGTCTTTTTGTTTCTCATCGAAGAGTGTCTTGATCGACACTTCGGCGTCATCATTGAAGAAATGAGTGAGGAACATGCTCTCCAGGTCCTCCCAGCTATTGATGCTTCCGGGTTTGAGACGGCGGTACCAATCGAAAGCAGGCCCGCGAAGGGTGCCCACGAATGACCAGGTGCTGAGAGGGCGAGCCCTTCCCGTCGAACGGCGTGAAGTTGACCAGGTTGAACTTCGCCGGATACGGGATCGATTCCCATTCTCTTGGGTAAGGACACGGAATCCCGGTCTTCTTCACCTCTCGAGCAGACATTAGAGCGTTAATTTTGCTCTCGAAGTCCTTTATTTTATCGTCCTCGTCTGTATCAGATCTTGGACGATTCCTGAGAGGAATAACAGGGCCACCCCCAGCATTGTCATCTTTGGTGGGACCACCCCCAGCGTTGTTGTCTGTAGGGGGTGCATTTGAACCACACCCAGTATTTTTGGGAGGTGCGTCGGCCATGATGATTTCGTCCACTTCTGGATCGCTATCAATCGTGGCGTTCTAGGTGTGACGGCTGGATTCAACTCTGACTTGATTGGACAGAACCCGAATTTGTTGATCATGCTCTTCCCTCATTCGCATCATGGCCATTTCCATTTCGAACTTGAAGTTCTCTTTTTGTTTGGCCAAGGCATCCTCAACCATTTTAGTGACCTCTTCTGTGCTAATCATCAACACTTCACGGGATTGACCTAGGCTGGATACCGTTTTGTCAGAAGCGACTGCAGAGTTAGCATCTGACACTTCATCATCTGAGGATAATCCTTGATTCATCCTCTGATAGTCCCTTTGTCTAACGGTTCTCGACCGTAACCGAGTTATACGTTGGGATATGTCCGAAAGATGACGAGGATTGAAGTTTCGCATTGACTTCCCCTTATCAACCATATTAACTGTGACTTCTGGAAGTTCGTCATCTTGCGCAGTTGGACTTTTTCTACAGAAACGCATTGGCTTGGTCCTGGGTGTTCTGGGGGAGATCCTTTCAAATACCGAGACCCTCTGTGGAGCAGTCTTGGGGTAGCTACGCGCTGATAATACTGCCCTGATAATTTTAGTACACAGATAATGAGAGTCCGTTTCTCGAGTACCTTTCTTTCGAGATTTGTTCGTACCCCCAGCCCGATAGTACAACTCATCGGCATGATTGCCGGAGTGTTCGTACCCCCAGCCCGATAGTACAACTCATCGGCATGATTGCCGGAGCAACGTATCATGTGCTGGCACGACTCCTCAGGTATAACGTCGTCATCCGGAGCAACGTATCATGTGCTGGCACGACTCCTCAGGTATAACGTCGTCATCTGACGAACATGTTTCCTTTTGAGGATTCGTCGTCTTGTCGGTGTTCTCAAGAGTTGCACGTTTTGAGTCACGCTTTCGTGAGCGTGAGACCTCAACGGGCTCCTGGACAATGACTCACAGTCCGAGGTGGTCAGTTATAAGAGCTTTCCCATTATAGGAAGGCTCTGATTTGTTGGAAGGGCGAGTGCGACCCCCAACTCGATGAGTTGCTCGGGGTTCATTCATCATGCCCAAGCATTCTTTGACTGGAGCTTTGCCTTGATCCTCATGCAAAAGACCTAGGCGTTCCGCTATTACTTTCCTGCCCCTGGATATGTCCATATTGTCGCGGAGCTTCATCGGAGGTGCGGGATTAAAAGGAGCGAGATCTGAACTTGACGAAAGCTGGGAACCTGCTTTGGATCTGGAATCGACCGAGAGACATGACTGATGTCTTTTATCGGGTAAGGGCGCTGACTTAGCCTTTGGCACCCAAACCAGCTTAGACCTTGGTGATTTCTTGATCACCTCTTCCCGCTGCAATTCTCGTGCCTCTCGCACAAGGATCTGGGTGTGCGCAATAAGTGCACGGCGCTTCTGGATGCGCTCCTCGAGGATAGAACGGGTTCGTTTGACCTGAACCCATTTGTTAATTAGAGGTTGGGAGGAGGGTCCTGATGCTTGTTGTGGCGATAGCTTAGTAACTTGGCGCTTTCTAAACTCCCAATCCGCTTGGTAACGGAGTCCGTCCACCTGATCCAAAGCCTTGGCGAATTGGCGCGCGAGGCGTTAGTGTTTCCTTTGACGTGATCTCGTTGATAAAGTTGGCGCGCCTTTAGCAGTCGGCTCCTTGATCACGAAGGAGTTCAGATCTGCAGATCTGGTCTCATTGGATGCCGGTGGATCATTGCATGGTGCAACTGTAGCAGCGACGACGTGGAGATCGACTTCTTGGGTCTTCAGATCTGGAGACCGACGGATCTTCTGGGAGGAGGAGATCTTCCTGCGCTTATGTAAAACCCCAAAATTTTATAATGAAATTGTGTAAATAAATAGTAATAAACCTTTCTTTTGGGATGAATAACCATATATATAGGAGATATATATGTTTATCAGTGTTTGGGAACCCATCAGGTGTATATAAGTGAAAGAAATCGAGTGATATAAGATCATCTTGTGAAATACCTATCAGAAGGCATTTTTTTTATGCTGAACGGTCGACCGGCACGGTCGACCGTGGCGGGGGGCCCCAGAGAGTTTTTCCAGGTTGTTTTTCTTTACGGTTTTGTTTCGGGTCTAACGGGTTTCGGGTCGGGTTAGGGAGTATATATA